ATATATATATAAATACCCCTATGTGTGAAGTCAGAAAACTCCAAGAAACTCAATTATCAAGGCCAATCATCTATATTGATCAAATTTACTGAATAATTGTTAATTTATCCATTGTGCTTAGCTTTGTGACACAGCCAAAAGTTACCTATTTAATCTTTTCAATAAAAATTGTTTTTTGAAATCCAGAAATGATTTAAAAAGAGGTCAGGTTTTTAACTATTTATTGAAGTATGTGGATGTACAGTATTTCAATAGATATGAATATGAATAAATGGTATGCCTTAAGATTCTTTGAATATGTATTTACTTTAAAGACTGGAAAGAGCTCTTCCTGTCTTTTAGTAAAACATCCATATTTCATAATCTGATGTAAAATATGTTGTACTGTTTCCAATAGGTGAATATAAACTCAGTTTATCAATTAAAATATGCATTTGACTCATTTTAAAATTCTATTAGCTTAAGAGCAAAAAGGAAGAAATAACAACTTAAACATATTTCTGCTATTCCCTCCTTTATTTCCTGCTGTATCCACTGTAACACACTCATCTTTCTGGTACTACTTGAAGGCAGTACAGGGTGAAAATTTTAGATGCTACTGTTTCAGAGGACTCCATGCCATAGTCTTTCCCTCTGTAGCTGATTCCCAAAAGGCTTGACAAGATGAACCACATCTAGCCCAAAAGAATTTTTCTGGAGATATTTTATTATCAATTATTTAGAACTTTTGCCTGCTAAAATGCAGCAAATTTAACCACAGAGACTGATGATAAAAGCCTGATGGTCTTACAGGCTAAGCAAGTGAAAACTCAAACGCCCATATAAGCCAGGCAGAGTATAATTTCTTAAGACAGCTGGGTATAGAAGAATGGGCACCTCAAGGCAATCAGATACAATTTCCTTAAAAATATCTCGCTTTCCAAACAAAACATATTATTTAACTGAGAGCTCATAGCTTGTGAGTGCTGAACTATAATGTGCATATGGAGCAAACCCCAAATGAATTATTTAAGGCCTCTTTTGCAAATCTTTCCATCTAGGAGAGTCAACCAAATAAATGGGAACAATGTGGTAGATAAAACAAAGCAAAAACTATAACAAAGATCCATGTTTGGTTTAATAATCTATTTTGAAATATGAGTTTCTTTGCTATTCTGGGAAAACTATATAGCCAAAAGTCTCCCTGCACAAAAAAAAAAAAAAAAGGAAAAGAAAATGCACTAATAAATGTCTGATTTTCCTACTGCCTCATTCTTTCTTCCCTTTTCAACTTCTATCCTGAACTCAATTGCGTTATGGAAACAGAAGCATCAAATATCAGATCCAGAAATCTAGCATGTGAAGCAGAGCTAGTTTCTCTCTGAACATTATAGGTTAAAACAGAGATATTTCCAAACCACATCCAGATATACAGAAAATAATTATTCACATTAACTTATCAGGCAGAAATATAAGTAAGAATTTTTAGATAAAATTTCCCAAAAATAATTCATTCAAGATAGGGGAATTTGATCCAAACACCATAGGCAATGTATTCCCTCTGCACTTCCTGAGAAGCATATGCCTTCACAGTTATTTGTACTTTTATCCTAATAATTTCAAACTTACAAAAATATTTAAGAATTGATATTGCTAGTATAAGGAGAATAAGTTGGCAAGCAAATTA